GTATAGCAGGGATTGTGGGGCTGGTGCGGGATCGGGCAGTGTTTCATTCCGCTGTGCATGGGGTCGCTATGAGTCGGAAACGACTCGACGGCATTTAACAACAACAAGATATCATCTGGCAGACTCGAACCCTGCTCAGAAACAAACATTAAAAGGTTGGCTCAAGATTTCTGGTTTTGTGAACCTCACAGTGACTAGAAGAACTCTGGGCATACTGTTGTTAGACTCGCTGACGAGTCGTTTCTGACTCATAGTGACCCTACGTACAACAGAAGGAAACACTGCCCAATCCAGCCCCATCCTCACACTTGGTTGCTATGTGTGAGCATATGTTTAGGCATACTACAGGTCGTCAATAAATATTGTTAAAAGAATGAAGAGGAGGCTGTCCCATGCTGCGCTCTTTATGTCAGAATTTACGTATTTTGTTCAGCTAAATTGAGTCTTGACAGCTCCTTTTCCCCAATAATTGAAGGAAGAGACCCAACCTTCCTTTTCCCCCAAGTGGCCCCTGGCAGAATGGCCAGCAGCTTCGGCGCAGCCTGGTCATTTCGCCAGGTGTCGCTCTCGCTCGCCCCTGCCCCGCCCCTCTCCCCGCCCACCGCCTAGTTCCCTCCAACCGCTGCCCTGGCCCCGCCTTCTACCGGAGCTTCTTTCCTGCGTCCGGCCTTGCTCAACTGGTTCCGGCTGCAAGAAGCATGGAGATGCGTGGTCAAACTCAACCCAGCCCGAGCTGTTCTTCGTCCACCCCGGGCTGTTCGAAGGTGTCTGTGTCCAAGGAACTACTGACGGCGGGGAGCGGCAGCCTCGGAGGTGACGGGCGGTGGCGGTGACACGGGGCGCCCACGTGCGGCGGCGGGTGCGCGGCCGGAGCAGCCCGGAGACCGGAGGCTGCTTACCCAGGCCCCACAGGTCTAAGAGGAACCCGGGTGGACGCTGCAAGGCGCCGTCAGTCCCACCATCTGGGAGGTGGGGGGAGCACCCAGCACCGGGCCCGGGTCCCAGAGCTGTGTAATCTGTAGAGCTCCTCGAGCCGGTGTTTTTCCAAGCGCCGTAGCTAGGCCCTTCCCTTGCCCTCGAAGCTGGGAAGCTACCGAACTTTTCTTAGAGGATCAGACGAGATCAGGTGCGTTCGGGGTGGTATGAGGGCCTTAGGGTCGCCTGACTAGGTTGGAGGATTGACTGATGCTGATCCGGGCCAGGCCAGTGAATATTAAGGGTAATAACCCACCTCACCCCGCCGCCCTCCGCCCTAGTATACGCGCGGAACTACTCGGTGCCGCTCTCTTGTAGACCCGGACATTCGGAAATTTACGCAGAATGTCAAGCATTATAATACAGAATCCCAGCTCCATGAGTCATTAGCTGTGGAACTTCTGGAGAGTTATTTACATTCCATAAGCCTGAATTTTCACATTTGGAAAATAGAGGTAGTAGTAGCGCGATGGCTATGCCTGCTAGGCTGCTTATGGAAAGGTAGGCGGTTCGAACAGACATTGGCTCCTGGGGAGAAAAGATCTGGAATCAACCAGTAAAGATTACAGTCTAGGAAACTCTTTGGGGTCAGTTTTGTTGTTAAGTGCCATTGAGTGCGTTCCAGGTCATAGCAATCCTGTGTATAACAGTAGGAAACACTGCCCAGTCCAGTGCGGTCTTAAAGTCCTTGCTATACTTGAGCCCTTTGTGGTAGCCATTGTGATTATGGACTCAAGCAAAAAGAAGTCCTTGACAACGTCAAGGAGCTCTGGTGGTTCTCAGTGGGTAAAACATCTGGCTGCTAACCAGAAGGTTGGCAGCTCAAACCCACCAGCTGCTCTGTGGGAGGAAGATGAAGAAATCTACTTCGGTAAAGATTTACAGCCTTGGGACCCCAGTAGGGGCCATTATGAGTCGGAATCGACTCCCATGTCGGTGGGTTTGGTGTTTTGGTTTGACAGTCCAATTTTTTCTCCATTTATCATGATGTTGCTTATTGGTCCAGTTGTGAAGGATTTTTGTTTTATGTTAAGGTGCAATCCATGCTGAAGGCTGTATGTAGTCTTTGATCATCAGTTAGTGCTTCAAGTTCTCTTTGCTTTCAGCAAGCAAAGTTGTGTCTTCTGCACATTGCATGTGAGTCTGCCCCCTGTTTTGATAACGTGTTCTTCATATAGTACAGTCCCTGGGATTATTTGCTCAACATACAGATTGAATACGTATGATGAAAAGCTACAACCCTGACGCACACCTTTCCTGACCGTAAACCACTCTGATGTGTAGGGTCGCTATGAGTCAGAATTGACTGGATGGTACCTAACAATGATAACAACAGTAGTTACAGAAATTTGGAGAAGAGGGAGAATGTGAATAAAGTCTTGGGCATATAATCAGTAAATATCAGCTTCCAGAAAAGTTCTGTGAGAACCCAGAGTATCTGAAGAAGTTATAATTATAGCCAGAACTTATGTAGTGTTTACTCTGCTCCAGGAATTAACTAATTCAATCTTACAAAGTAGGCTCTATTCCCTGCATTTATAAATGAGAAACTGAGGCCTGATGTACCATACAGATGAGTACTTTGCTGGAGCTCATACAGCTGGAGAGCAGTGAAATGGATTTGAACCCAAACAAGCTCTGGAATCTGTATTCTCACCACTAATCCAACTGCTAGACTTTAAGTAGGAAGCAGGAGCTCTGGTAGCATAGTGCCTAAGGCATTCGACTGCTACCCGGAAGGCCGGCGGTTCAAACCCACCAGCCACTCCTCTGAAGGAAGGTGGGGCAATCTACTTCCGTAGTGATACCGCCTGGGAAACCCAAGGAGGGGTCACTAAGAGTCGGGGCCAACTCGCCGGCACATAGCAACAACAACAAGTCATAAGCATTCAACAGAAGTTTGAAAGCTTTGCTTTGAGGATGAACAGGATTTTGGTACCAGAAAGTGAACAGATTTTGCAGATATTGGAAGTAGGGTATGCAAAGTCTTGAGTTTTGAAAGAAGAATACTGTTCTGGGAGCTCTGATGGGCTGGAGAGTTGGATGGGTGTGAGGAGTAGTGAGAGATGAAGCTGAAAGGTGAGTGAGGGCGGAGAGTGGCACAGAATTTCTCCATGGGGCCACTTTGTCTAGGCTGCACATTTTCACTGAGGGAAACTAAGCAAGCAGGCGTGTCTTACAGATGAAGAAACTAGTACGCAAAAGGCTTAGACGACGTGCCCAATATTACACAGCTAGTAATGCCTTCTTCCTTCACTTTACCATTATTGTATTGTTGACTGCTTCTCCATTCTGTCCTTGCAGACCCATCCGTGTGCTGATGAATTTCTGATCCAGAAAGATAGAGTTCATTGTGCATTTGTATACCTCAGTCTTGGGGCATAGATGTGTGTGACAGGTTTAAGAAAGGGGAGATAAATGAATATAAAGCTCTAAATGATGATGAACAAGTTGTAATGGAACATGAAGTGCCTCTTACTAAAAAATATCTCAGGAGATGTGGAGCAATTGGGACTTGAGACTGGTCATGGGACGTTTGTGGACGGGCCCCTGTTTTTTATGGCATAGTGAATTGTGTGTTTGTGTGTTTTTCCAGGAATATGGGACAGATTGCTCATCAACTCCAAGCCTAATTCCAAAAAGAGCTCTCTTCAAACAGTTCGGATAGAGAGAAGTCCCTGTAAGTACTCCTCCGTCTCTTTCTGTCCATCTCTCTCTCAGGAGCTCTCTCTGATGTTCAATAATTGAGCTGTTATTTGATGGGACACTTTCATTATCAGGGGTCATTATCAGATACAGAGCCACAGATAATCCAGTGGAACAACTCTTACTTGAGATTTACATTGCCTAAAGAGGGTAACTTTCTCCTGGAAAAAATACTTGTAGGGTGAATTTTTGGAAGTTAAAAATAATTGTTGTTACTCTCGTAGGAAATATTTTTAGAGCCCCAGATTTAATATACATATATGAAAAAAAAAATCACCACATCCCATTAAACTGTATGTTGTTGTTGTTGTTGTTATGTGCCCTCAAGTCAGACCTGACTCATAGCGACCCCTCCTTGGGTTTCCGAGGCAGTATCACTACGGAAGTAGATTGCCCCATCTTCCTTCCGAGGAGTGGC